GTGGTTCCCCATCAGCTGGGTGGTCTCTGGTCTGGCTGACTTCTCTGTTTGGTGTCCGGTTGCTTTCTCATGTTTGTGCAATCCGCCGTTGACTTTTATGGCTACTCAGAACCACTCAGTCGGTTCAGGATGTCCTGGTAGGTGGTTACCTGGGCAATTTGCTTCTCCATGCTTGTTCTGAAAAAATGCACTAACAGCTGGTAAAGGAAGTAGCTTTCCAATATTCTGACCAAGGCTTCCTGAGACCGTAATTAAGCACACGCTTAGTCCAAACAACTCTTATTTTATTTCAACACTGGGAATTATGTTCATTCCCAGCTCATAATGAGTCCAAAACAGTCTCTCAAGATAAGCACCCACCTTTATCTCCTTTGAATTGCTGCCAGCAACTAAAGTGCCAAATTAACTGTAAAAGGACAAACAAAATACAAAGTCCACACAGAGATTCAAGGTATAATCCAAACAAAGCGAACAACGTTGCTTTCTGCAAAGGTTCCTGTCCCTTTGCACTTCCTTTATATCTTATGGGAGGGGCAATCACCTCCAAGCCTTACTCCCGAGTCTCCCCTTTTGTCTTAACTGCTCTTGCCTTCTGGCAGCTCTGTGCACACGCCCACTGGGAACAGACTCCCCTTGTTCCTCTGCCTCGTTGCTGTCAGATTCTGGAGGCTCCGGAGTCAGCATATAACTCCCAGGTGGCACTGGCCCTATCTCTGTATCTGATGCAGGACCCTCATTCGAGTCCTCCCCAGACTCCCAGACTGACCCATGTTCTTCCCCACTGTCCAATTCTGCTGCTGTGTCCGCAGGCTGCCGGCAGACCACAACACGCAATGTCTCTCCTGAATCCACTGATGTGTTCCTTGATGGATCGCCCCCTCTGCCTTAGGTTTCTGAGCTCATCTTCCACATACGGGTCCTCCACCTCCTCAAATCTGGCCTCTAACAGTCGTAGGAAGTCATCTACATTTTGCAGTTGGGGGGGCTCTCCTCTTGTGGAGGGCTGCTAGGCATTCCCTTGCCTGTCCCTCTAGCCCCTGGGTGTGATGACCCGGGGCGTGGCACAAAGGCAACACAGTCACATTACTAAGAAAATTCCCTTTAATACCTCCAGCTTTGCCCCCAATGTCCAGTTACCTTTGGCTAGAGGAAAAAAATCCCCAAAACAGTCTTTAAGTGGAGGAAATTCAGTCCAAAAACAAAGTACGTATAAACTGTAAATAATCCACACAAACCATGCTGCAGCAATTAACTGGACAGGGCAGGATAAGGAATTGCAGATTTGAAAGGCCAACAAAACACACACAGTTGGGAAGACGCCAGGAACCCAGATAAGCCTCGACAATGAAAGATAACTCACGATTGGCTTCCAACAAGTTGCTGTGCACAATCTCCCTTTTTAAACACTGTGTTCCCAGCTGCAGCTAATGAAGGAAATCAGGGCCCTTTCTTCCCCCATAAGCCATGCAACTCACATTGCTCCCTTCTCCGTTCCTCCCTGTGTGCCCTAGGATGAAGAGGGGGTGGGCCTGGATCTTCCTCTGAATTCCCTCTGCCTTGCTCTACTTCTTTCCTGCTCTGCCCAGCCGGACTTTGCCCTTTCCCAGTTTCTTCCACAGCCACCGGAGCCACACTCCTACTCCCTGTTAGCTGTTCAGCCTCCCCCTCAGAATCAGATTCCAACAGGGGCATGACACTGGGCGATGGTATTCACCATGGCTCTGGGGGATGGGTAGAGGTGTCCATAGCGTTCTAGGTGGATCTCAGCCAAATCAAGGAATAGAGCTAGTTTGTCGGAGTCCCCATCAAATTTTCCCCTGAAGCGGGCCGGTTCATTGAGCACTGCTCCTCCCTCCTCCTGTTGGCCCCTGTAAGCCTGTACTTGATGTGGCTGGTCATCTTCCTTGACCCTAGTTCTGCCTTGGGTGGCCTGCCTGCTGCATGGGAGAGGCACTGGTTGCAGTCTTGGGCTCCTTCTCCTTCTGATGGGTGGATAAGGGGGACTGTGTTCCTGTCTGCATCTCCTCACTTCAAAAGTAGTCCAACTGTGCACGGTTAAATTTGCATTTCGACAACTTGACGTACAGGTTTGCTGCTAGAAGTTTTGTGTGATGATTCCAGCCCTGGTTCCAGCCCTGGGGTTGTGCATGCCGCTGCCATGTGCCCTACTCCCCCGCATTGATAGCATTTAATTGGGCTTCATGAGAGGGCTGGTTTTGGGGCCAGTCATGGTGCTGTGGTGTCCCGTCGGCTGGGTAGTCTCTGATCTGGCTGCCTTCTCTCTTTGGTTCCTGGTGGCTTTCTCATGTCGTTAGCGTGTAATGCCCCATCGACTTTTATGGGCACTTGGAACCAATCAGAGAGTTGGTTCAGGATATCCTGATAGGCGATTACTTTGCTAATTTGCTTGTCCAGGCTTGTTCTAAAAAGTGAACCAGCATCCGCTCAGGCAAAAGGGATAGTTTCCCACTGATTCTCCTGAATTCAAGGATGTGTTCCTTGATGGGTCGCCCTCCCTGCTTTAGGCTGCTGAGCTCATCTTCCGCATTCGGGTCCTCCTCTGCCTCCTCAAATATGGCTTCTAGCAGTTGTAGGAAGTCATCTACGTCATGCAGTTGGGGGGCCCTTCTCTTGTGGAGGGTTGCTAGCCATCCTCTTGCTTCTCCCTCTAGCCCCTCAGAAATGGCATTCACCATGGCTCTAGGGGAGGGGTAGAGATGTCCATAGCATTCCAGGTGGATCTCAGCTGAGTCAAGGAATAGAGCTAGCTTGTCTGGGTCTCCATCAAATTTTCCCCTGAACTGGAGCAGTTCATTGAGCTTTGCTCCTCCCTCTCCCTGTCACACTCTGTAAGCCTGTGCTTGAGGTGGCCGACCTTGCTCCCTGGCTCTAGTTTGCACAGGAGGAGGTGGCTGCCTGCTGCATGGGGGAGGCACTGGCTGCTGCTGCCGGCTCTTTTTTCTTCTGGTGGGTAGAGAGGGAGGGCTGTGGTCTCACCAGCCTCTCCCCACTTCAAAGGGCTCTGTAAAAACTCCCCTGTTTTGGGCGGCAGGATGGGCCATCATCCCAAATGGTGGCCCATTCAAATTCCTCCCCCAGCTGCTCTATGGATCTCCCCAGGGATTCTGTCAGGGACTTATCTGGTTTTCTCCCCTTGAACGGAGCAGGTTTCTCCTCTTCAGAATTCAAGGAGGGCTGTCCTCCTTCTGTAATTACGCTATCAGCTTCTGTTTGCTTCTGGCTGGAGGCCAAGCCTGTTTCTGCTTGGGTCGCCTGGAGCAAGCTCTCTTCTGACAGTCCTCCCTCTGCCATGGCCGCGTGAGTTTCTCTCCATGCACCCCAGATGTCGGGGAGTGATGGAAGAGGCCAGGACCCAGGTACCCCAGTAATGTTGATTAATTACGAGAATCAGCTTGCTGTCAGGGTTCCGGCAGTTGCCCTAATTAAATCATGAGCTTCAAGCCAAACTTCAAAACCTAGAATGAATTTATTAGGAGTGAACATGTTGGCAGGACCTGTTTGAAGCTGATTCTGAGACATGTAATTCACTGTCATCCTTGACCCTGGTTTCCCCCCACCCCTTTGGGTGCATCATAATTCATATTCTCCAACAAAACACGTCCATAGCCAAGAGTCATCACGAGGTAGGGGTCTCAGGGTCGATCCGACCATGGGTTTTAAGAGGCTACTATGGAATACCGGGTGTATTTTCCCTAACAATCGGGGCAACTTCAGCTGCACCATGACTGGGTTGATGATCTTTACTATGGGAAATAGTCCCATGAACTTTGCCCCCAATTTCTTGCTAGGGAGTCTTAACCTCAGATATTTGGTGAAGAGGTAGACCTTCTCCCCCAACTGGAATGGCCGTTGTAGGGCTCGGTGTTTGTCTGCCTGTCTCTTATAGGTCTGTGCCGCTTTTGCCAGCGCTTTTTTGACATTCTCTCAGAGTTCCAGCAGTTGCTCTAATTAAATCATGAGCCTCGAGCCAAACTTCAAAAACTTCAAAGAATTTATTAGGAGCGAACATGTTGGCAAAGGTCTGTATGAAGCCGATTCTGAGACATGTGATTCACTGTCACCCTTGACCCTGGTTTCCCCCCACCCCTTTGGGTGTTTGATAATTCATACTCTTCAATGAAACACTTTCATAGCCAAGAGTCATCAATCACATTCTCCAATTAGAGATTTGCGCAGCAGAAATTCTGGTAGCTTAGTTAAAATCTTTGCAAGATAAAAACGGAATGCACTTTTGGTTCCAAACTGCTTTACTGCTCTTTCAAATTTCTTCCCCCACCCCCCTTCTGTTCATGGCAACTCTAAAACAAGCATAGAAATGTTTTATGAGTTGACAGTGATATTTCAGTTTTTTCTCTTTAATTTATGAAGTTAACCATGACCATAGATCTTCTGCAGCCTGAACCTCAACAGATATTAATTCAACCTCTTTTGAAGGGAGGTGAGAAATTAATTTAACCTGTTTTGCAGAGAGGTGTTCTTCATGCACTAGAAGCTTTGAGGTTTGCAGCAGGTCAGCTACCAGTATAAGGCTGCCTGCCTTCCATCTGAGGATAAGGCACCAATCTGCAACCTCAGCTTAATTACAGCAGCCTGGGGTACTTGAGGTTGCTATAGAACAGACTGAGAAGGAGCTTTTGTCACATGGTACTCCTGCTTAGGCCTTGCCGCAGCAATGCCAAGCATTCTTTGCTGTTGCAATTAAGCTGAGGCAGTGACCTTGTGCAGCACTCCTTGTAAGTCATGAGCCCACACTTTTGGTGATTGGTGACTAAATTTATTATTTAGTTTTAAAATGTAATGTTTTGTAATGTTTTGTTGTATTTTTATTTTACTTTCTTAAATATGACCCATTTTAATCTGGTTTGGGCCTCAGTTGGGAGTGTTGTGGGCCTGTGTGCTTGACACCTGGTGTAATGGAATAGCTTCAAGCACCTGAAAAACAGTTTGTTGCCACTGAATATAGCAATGTTTCTCTGCAGAAATTTGCCTGTAATGGTACTGTGATTGAGCATCCTGAATATGGGGAGGTGATCCAGTTGCAGGGTGACCAGAGGAAGAACATTTGCCAGTTTCTCTTAGAGGTGAGTTCCTATAAGTCTAGCAATTCAGACAGCTGACTCAAATATTAGAATGCTCATAACTCATTTAGGTTAAACAGATAGTTGGAAATCATTAGTACACTTTACGGCCTGAACATGACAACAAAATAGAATTTAATGAGTCACTGCCAACTGTGAGCTCTATTGTTTTCTCTAAATTGATAAAGAGCTGAATTATGGGGCTGAGTGGAAGAGTGTAACCAACTTGGCTCCAACACTTTGGTTTTCTTAATAGCACAGTTGATACCATGACAGTTAAGATTTTATTTCAAGATGTTTTAAGGAAACATTTGAGGATTTTCTAGGTTGACTTGTAAACTGAAAACTGCTGCTATAGATAATTTTGCACCAGTCTCAGCTGGCATTACATCCCTGCTCAGCAATTGTACTTTGATTACCATATTTGTTGGACTATAAGACGCACCTAGGTTTAGAGGAGAAAAGCAAGAAAAAAAGTTTTTTGCTTCTGTGCGTCCTGTTTTTGCCCTCCCCATTGTCCAGAAGCACTCTGTAGACCAAAACTGGGCCTGTTTTTGGCCTACCAAACCATCCCTGTGTCCTGTTTTTGTCCTCCCCAGCACCCAGAAGCACTCTGGACAAGCACGTTTTTGGCCTGCAGATTGCCTCTGGACACCAGGGGAGGCAAAAACGGGATGCACAGTGGGTTCAGGCCCATTTTTGGCCTACAAAGTGCTTCTGGACACCGGGGAGGGCAAAAATGGGACCTGTGGAGGGTTTGGGAGGCCAAAAATAGGCCTGTGTTCACTCTATAAGACACACAGACATTTCCACCCACCTTTTTGGGGGGGAGTGTGTCTTAGAGTCCCAAAAATATGGTAATATGTGGAATTATTTTTGTGTTCACATTTCTGGTCCTAACTGCCAAGGGCTTACTGATGTTTGTATATTTTCTGCAGGTTGGCATTGTTAAGGAGGAACAACTGAAAGTTCATGGCTTCTGAATTATGTGTACTTACCTGAAGAACTCTACAGGTTTTGTTCTACCAAGTTGGCTACTCTGTGAAATATGATTCTTCGTAGTAAATGGACTTCCCATTCAAAATCTAATTTGCTTTTGCATGATTATAGAAAAGATGTGGGGTATAGACTAGAAACACATAAGAAAACTGCAGTAAGATGGTAGCAAGAAATGGTTAAGAATTTTAACGCATTTCCAATGGAAATGTACTGCTGATACTTCAGTGTATTTTTCATCTGATTTAAATGTGTTAAAACCATGTGTGTTACAGCTTAAATAAACTCTCTTTCCATTTGAGCGTAGAGTGTATTATATACTTTAGCCAATTTAAGCATATAAACAACTTTTTAACTATATAGCAGATCAGGTCAAACTTCAAAAGCTAATACTCTGCATGTAGTACCTAAATTGACTTAAAAGTTTTCACAATTAGCAGTCAGGTTCAGTGAAATTGAAACCACTAGGTATTCCTTCCTTCTAGGAGAATTATAATAGGTAAAGTCCAGCTAATATCCAAAAAATGCTGCCATTGCTGGGGCTTGATATCAAATCCATTCCCAGATAGGGTGTGCAACAACTCAAACCATTTTGGTGTGAGGCTTCACAAAATATCCCATTATAAGTATAGAACAGCAGTTCTGCAATCTGTACATAGAGTTACATGAAGGCTTGCATTCTTGACTTCCAATGGATAAATGATCTAATTGAAAAAGTGTCTAATGATTCTCCCTTGTAAGGCTGCAACAAGTCAGGATGGGTGTTACTTCTCTTCAGCTGCTAAGGACTGAGTCTGTTTAAAAGGCTTATTAGCCTAGCTCCGCCCACTCTGGGTAACTCCTCCCCAGTTCTATTCAGTCCTTAGCTGAAGAAGGACATGAAAAATTGCCTCTCCTGCCTTTGGACCCTTTTTTTTTTTCCAAAGGCAGCCTTGCAAGGGAGGAAAAAAAAAGTTGTTTCCCTTTAAAAAAGGGAAAAAAAGCCTCCAGCAGCCTTCCCCTTTTTAAATTTGGCGGCTCCACTTTACAGCTGACTTTCAGAGCCGCCTACTAGAGCAGCCTGCAAGGGCCGTGGTGGTCCTTTCGGCCCTTTGGGGTGAAGAGAAAGGTGTTGTTCGGCCAGATGGACGTTCTTCGAGGGCGGGAGATTCCGCCCTCTTCCCAGAGCTGCGGGGCTGCTTGGAGCTTTCGTGGCGAAGAGGAAGCAGGTTCTTTTTATTTGGTCAGCTTTCCGGAGAGCGGGGGCTGTGGCCACGCTCGGTTCAGTGCTGCGTGATCACTTGTTTCCCCTGCTGTGAAGATTGCAGCCTCATGGTCATGCGGCTGTTTTTAGAGCTGCTTTTGCAAATAGCAGCAAAAATTCTGAGGTCTTCCAGAGGAAGAAGGAGCCTGGAGGCCAAAAGTGGCCATTTTGAAGATCCCAGGCTGCCGGTGGCCATTTTGAAGACCAGGCCGACTTCTTCCTGCCACTCCTGTGCCTTTTGTCTGCACCAAGCCCGGTTCCTGTTGTTGCTGAAGTGAAGACTTCGAAGGGTAGGCGCTTTATTTCCTTTTTCCTGGTGGGGGGTTGGTTTCCCTAACCCAAGGTAGACCAGGGCCCTCGGGCTTCCAGCCAGGCCTGGTCTATATTTAATTTCCCTATTAAGCCCAGGAGGGTGTGAGTCCCAGTAAGAAGTATTAAAACATCCTACTGAAGTTACATAGGGCAGAAGAGAGTGGTGGTTGGAGTGGGGATGGAGAAGATATCCCCTGAAGTCCCTTTATAAATCCCTTCATGTGCTCTTCTCCTTGCACAGGACTTTCAGTCTAGAATAGGCCTTGCTGTTCCAAGATGGCTGAAGCCCCAAGGGCAACCAGAGCCTCCAAAGCTGCCAAGCCTCAAAAAGTGGCTCCTGCTGCTTCTACCAAGAGAAAGCAGCCCGTGAAGAAGGCCTCTAAAGCAGAGGAGAAGGATGCTTCCAGGTGCCATCAGGCCATAGAGAAGCAGATAGCCAAGGTGCATCAGATCTCTACTCGTATAATGACTACAAGAGCTACTTCTCCAGCATCGATCATCAGTGAGGTGGATTTGAAGGAGCCTGGACCTTCTTCTAGAACCGGCATCCAGACTTGGTCCCCTGATGTGTCCAGGAGAGGTGCTTCTCTGATTTCCTCTGAAGGGGGCAGTCAGCTTGGTGACCCTCATGGAGAAGCTGTACCTTGGCAAGAGTGTGGGTGCAGTAGGCAGTGGTTGGAATCCTCCTTTCCTTCTACTGCTGCTGGGCTTAGACCAGCTGAGCCTTCTGAATCAGATGTCCCTGTCAACCTTCAGATTCTGATCGACAAAGCCATCAGAAAGGGCATCTCAGAAGGTTTGCAGAGAGCGACTCAACATTCTTCTGCAACTTCTGATTTATCAGAGAGATGGTCCCGGGTTTGAGAAGCTCTCCTGTCAGAGATTCCTTTATGCAGGAACCGCTTTCGGTGGTGGATGTTGCTCCTGCTCCTGCTCCCTCAGTGGCTCCATCCTTGGTGGGGGAACATGATAAGCCAGAATCTGACATGTCAGCAGATGAAGGCACTTCCCATGAGGTTCCAGTGTTCATAGGTTGCTTCAAACACACCTTGTTCAGTCCCTTGTTCAAGGTGAGGAACATGGCCAACCTGAAGGGCACAGATGATGAGGTAGCTGCCTCACTTCCTCCTGGGGAGGATGTTCTCTTTTTTTTAAAAAACAAATTTTATTAATTTTAAAGACAAACAAAACAAAACATCATTAAACATTGAAAACATAAAACCTCTTTCCATTATAAATCTTTACAAGGCAGGTAAAACGTTATTTTATATCGCATACTTCTAATTTACCCCATTTCCATATAGACACATAAATTCCCTTTAACAAATTTCACATTATTTCTCCTTACTCTTATTCAATCACATTTCTTTTCTATATTTATCTACTATTAAATCATCATATTTATATTTCCCTCTGACTTGTTTACAATTATTCTCATCTGACATTCCTCCGAGATTTTATTAATTCTCAATTGAACATACACACACAAAACACAAAAACATAAAACTTCCTTTTAGAAAGTAGCTTGGCCCCAGATTACCTCTTTTTGTATGGACTTCAATTAAATTCATGCTCTTCTTATATACCGTTACCCATCTTGTTTACCATTCTATATCTTCTATATAACTTCTCCCCGCTTTTCCCTCTTCTTAATTCTATTTTATATATTTCATCTTGCTTTAAGTCAATATTTTTATATCTTTTGTCCATTCTTTTCCATTTAAACATTTATCTCATTCTCAATATAAAAAAAAGGTAATTTCTCCTGAAATCACTAGTCAGAGTATGATGCCTTTCTATCATTCCCCTAAATTAACATCCAAAATAGCACCTAAATCCCAATCTGATTCTGCTTAGTACATTCTACTATTTCAAAAACCAATACTACAATAATAAATCTATAATAACATCAGCACATTAGCCCGTTTGACTCTATAATTAAACTATTTTAAACATTTCCTTTAATATTTTATTAAAACTTAAAATCATTCATTATTAAACATTTTAACATTATAGTTTAATATTTTAATCTTTTATTGAATCTTATAAAATTCTAATTTTCTATTTTTAATACAAATACTACAATACTATCGTGTACTTTGCAGAATCCCTTTTTTTAAAAAAATCATACATTACCCTTTGTCCCTAAATTTTTTTTCTTTTTCCCATCTTGTTTTGTACCTTTGTGACTTTTTTCCCCCTTTTCCCTTTCTTTCTTGACCCACCTAGCCTTTTTACCCACTCCTCTCCTAACCTCCGCGTTTTTGGCTTCCCCTCTCTGTTGTATTCTTCTTTCCTTTTGCTTTCTAGCATTATATTGATTTTGCATCTTATTTTTCTCTTTCATAGATATTTTTTTAAGTCTTAAGTCCTTCCTTTTCCCTCCTCTCTTTCTCCTTTCTTTCTTAATCAAACTTTTTAGTTCATTAAAAATGGCTTCTTCTTCCTCCACTTCTTCCAGCTGTTGTTGAATTTGCTGACAAATAGCAAGCGCCATTTCTAAAAAACAAAGGGCTTCTCCCATAGCGTCCTTGCCTTCTTTCCTTATTTTTACGTATTGTTTTCTTAGTTCATCGAGAGATAGAGCCATTATAAACTTTTTCTTCTTCTTTTTCTTTATCCTCTTATTATTATTAAGCCAACCAAGATATTTCCAAACTTAAAACAATTCCCCAAAGTCATCAAACAGTCCAAGCAAAGCACAAAATTCTTCCTTTTGCAGTTTCTCTTCCTGGGGTAATGTCAGTTAGGAAAAAAAACCCAATCTGTATTTTAAATCCTTTTTGCAATTAGCTTCTAGTCTCTTAAACTTTAAGGCATCTCCTCCAATAAAGTCTTAATATAAATTTTTTCCAAACCTTTCCCTTCCCACTTGTAACAAAGGGCTTTAAATTTTTACCTTCTGTTAAATAGCAGATTTTCCATGTCCATTTGTTAGTTCCGTAAGGGAGGGAGAGTAACTTTCCCTTTCAGCACTTTCATTCGCCGCTTTAAGAAACTTCCATTGGGAACATTGTAACATCCAAAAAAAATAGTAGTTTTCAAGGTATTGAATATGTCCTTAAAGTCCCGGTTCAGCCAAGAAGAACTTTCACTTTGTAACTTCTTCCTTCTTCCTCCTGCACATTCTTAAGCCAGTTGCCGGCTTCTTCGTGGCGGCCATTAAGACCGCTGCTCCACCGCCTTGAGAAAAGGGGGTTTTTCCGGCTGGGGAGGGGGTCTGTGATACCCCTCAACCCCTTTCCAGATCCTCCCTATCTTCGGCTGCCCCAACAGGGCAGCCTTATCCTCCAGATCCGTCGGGATCGGAGGCACCAAGACGGCTAGCACGGCAGGGATCACGCAGAGTCGCGAATCCCTGCCGTCGCCGAAGCCTGGCAAACCAGAAAGCCGAGAGGATGTTCTCTTTGACGAACCAGAGGTGAGGAAGGAAGTGGTCCCGTCTCCCAGACTGTTCCTGAAGGTTATTCAAAAATGTCTGGAATCACCTGCCTCAGGACCCAGTCCCCTGGCTTCCGACCACAGGTTCCTTAACGTGGGGCCTGAACTCACTAAAACCCTCCAATTTCCCACAGTGGATGCTCCAGTGGCAGCTTTGGCCTCCTCATCGTCTGCCCCATCTGATCTGGAGGATGTCCTCAAGTCCGAGGAGAAGCGTGTTGAACAATCCCTCCAGAGATTCCACCTGGCGGCTGCCTGGGCAGTCAAGGCATCTACTGCAGCGTCGTTCTTCACCAGGACGT